TAAATATATATGAAAAATATAATTAAAATTTTAAATTATAGATAATTAATAATATTAAATTTAAATGAATTTAATATTAAAAAATAGTTTAAACTTTCAAATTTTATCTCTTTTTTAATAGAATGGAATAATAAAATTCGATTGATTAATTTGTCAACAGGAAATATTAGCACATGCAATTATACAGCCGATCGCGATTGGGATCGAATCCGGACAGGTCAAGGAATCCCCAGGAATTTTTCGGGGGTGGTCCGTTTGGATATGTCGAATCCCTTTCCTCACCACCCGGCCGCCCCATTGTGGGCCTGGCCGAACCCATAATGGATCTGCTATAAGATGCCCTCTTAGTGCCCACAGGGCGGAAAGAGAGCGGCAGGATGGCCGAGCGGTCAAGGTGGCAGCCTATCGCTCTGGGGGACCCGGGCTCGAATCCGAACGGGTCGAAAAATTTCCAGGAATTTTTCAGGGGTGGTCCGTTCGGATATGTCGGGTCCCTTTCCTCACCACCCGGCCGCCCCATTGTGGGCCTGGCCGAACCCATAATGGGCTTGCAAAAAGAGGCCTTTTTAGCGCCCACAGAGCGGAAAGAGTATAAAAAAAAGCCGATCGCGATTTCTTCCATTACGTATGGCATAAGCCGCGTTCAGCATAGAGCGGAATAAGAAAAACACTCGATAGTATAGTCATAATAAATTATTAGGTTTCGGATCGAATTCTAACTGGGGACGGCCGGATAGCAAAGGCAATTAAAGTGTCAACCTACTGCTCTGTGGGGCCCGAGAATGAATCCGTGCGAGTATAAAAGCTCCGGGAATTTTTCGGGAATGGTCCGTCTCAAGTATATCGGGCCCATTCCCTCAACACCCGGCCGCCCTATACTGGGCCTGACCGAACTCACCATTGGCTTGATTAAAAATGTCCTCTTAGTGTCCACGGGACCGAAAGACTAAAAAATCGAATTGGGATTTATTACTGCGATGAGTTACATAATTATTAAAATTTCAATTAAAATATTTTTTAAAAAATTAAATTTTATTGGCTAGCCGTAGATAAATTAACATCATGCTATTACAATCATCCTAATTGTTAATTAATGGAAGAGAATAAGTTTATTCCTGCATCATTTTTTATAATTCTTTCTGTATGAAGTAACATTAACACCTTTTTAATATTCTTCCAGTGGCGTGCCGTCATTAGAAGCTGTGGATGCGCCGCTTCCCTTGTATTTTCTAAAAAATAAATACATATTAATTTTACTTATATCAAAATAATCGCACAATATTTTATTATAACCGCATTATGTATCTTGTTACAAATTTCTATACTACACGTGAAAAAAAGATAAGATCGCTATTGTATATTCGAATATTAGTGGAGTAGAGGAGTGGAAACGCTGTATCGTCAACATCCAAAAAGCCAGATTCGTGCACGCGCTTTACGGAGCACCAACCTCACCCGGTTTAGTATGACCCACCCTGTTACGATTTCGTATGACCCATCTTTAAGGGGATGTAGAAAAAAACGTGTACAATTCTTGTATAATATTAAAAAATTAACTGTTACTTTGGTAGCATCATTTACAACTAAATTTAATAAATGAGAGAGATGCAAGAGGTACAGAAAAAACTCTAGAATTTATTTTCCTTAAATTTACGATTTATGTATCCGTTTGTCATAAAAATTTGTCTTTCCACTTTTTCCCGAGATTACAAATATTCGAGTACGAAGTAACCGGTGTCTACTTATTTATACTTAAGAAGTAGTTAAATAATTAAGCGATTAGAGAATTGGGGACATAAACAAAACCCCGACGAAAGAGCCGAAATTTTACTTAAAAGCCCAACCGAACCAATCTCTAGCCGAGTACAATGGGACTGATGTTTTCGAAATATTAGATGTAATAAAGACAGACATTTTTCCAGTTCGACGAGAATAACCGAAAAGTTGTAAATTTTGGAAATTTCCGTGGACAACACCCGGTCCTAAAACGAATTAGTTAGAAAACAAACGACGGACAATCGATTAAGTTTAACATATTTAGACTTTTACAACTATGGTGAGAAACGTTTAAAATTTACAAGAACCCTGTCTCGTCTTTTGAGGTATATTAGTGATGCAACAAAAGAGGCATTTGAAATTGACCGGTATCGGCACCCTGGGGATCGGCACCCTTAGATTTTACAAATACGTGTGCCAGGCTGTAAACGGCTCACGTATTTGTAAAATCTAAGTGACTCGTACAACATGGAATTTATATAACACGGAATTATCTACAGTGTTATAGGGGGTCTACTGTATTATATCAAAATAAATAGATGTTATATGTTTTTATCGAAGCGAAAATTGGCATTTAGAGGGCGTATGGAATATATTGGATCTAATAAGAGATGTAATTATATTGAACTTGTTTATTTATAAAGTACGTCGGATAAATAATCTATTAAAAATACATTTAAAGAAAGAATTACAGTGGAAGCCCGGTTAACGAACGTAATCCGTTCCACGAGTCCGTTCGTTAACGGAAGCAATTTTTCCCATAGAAATTAATGCAAATACAATTAACCAGGTCGTTCGTTAACCGGGGTTCCACTGTAACTGATTGCCCCTGGAAGTAGGCTTCTTATAGAAACACAGCTTCCCTATCGTCAAATGTCACGGCACGCCACTGCTAAACATAAATTGATGTCAAACGTATCTTAAATTATCATCATGTTACTGAACGCCGTGAAGTAAACTCGTTATATAAAGCTCTAATTAGCATACCAGAAAAACTTAAGTTTGATATTTGAGCTTTCTAGACTCTTAATGTGTTCATATGTAAATATCGTAAACATGTTTGTCAGCAGCTGACCATTTTAAGTGATGAATAGTCTTTTCTAAAGACAATCCCTTCAATATTTCTGTCAATGTGAAGACAGTAAGTACTATTTAATTTATAAATAACCGAAAAACATGTGTATTTATTGTAATTTTTATATATTATTAGATGCGTTATTGATACAGGATTTAACTATTCTTTATCCTGGTATTTACTCGCGGTTGTTCATACAATTCGCCATACAAATCCTATATGATTCTTTTTAATATCCACCACACAATACGAATGCTTATCGCACAATATTCAACACACAAACTAGTCGCCCGAGTCTAGTGACCGTTGTGTCTGGTTTTGTTGCTGCGGACGGCTGCAGGTCCCTCGGCCTAGGCGGTGATCCTCTTCGATTTTCCCCTTCTTCACCCGGATGCGACACTCTTACCGGATTAGACACTTTTCACCCGAACTTGACACCTTTTCACGGACGTGACCTCTCTTATCCGGGCGTGACTCACGGACTTGTTTCCCGAACGTGACACGTTGTCGACGACAACAGATTTGACTCCCGATTGTGACTACCCGGACGTGACACGTTTATTCACCGGACGCGACATTCGGCCGACCTTTCTTTCCAAGCAGTTGTTACGAGGATTGAGCTTCCGGTTGGTCAGGTCCTTCGCTCTTCTCATAACACTGTTCCGGAGGAAAGACTGTCTGATAAAGGTAATAATGTTGACCTTAGATAATAAATGAACTTTTCGCTTTCTCAGTCTTTGTGTTTTTTGTAGGAACATTTGGGAGGAAGAAGGATCTCCCTCCCCAACTTTACCACGAAGAGGACGAAGCGGCCGTTCATCATACAAGCGAATATTTCCCGAAATCTCCGATGGTAAGAACTCTTCGTTTTCTTTTTTTACACATTTTATTCTCGTATCGTAATTTACTGTTTTTCTGATTTTAGACACGCCGAAAGATGTTCTTCGATCACGCACACAACATCACTGTACACGAACATATATACCGTTTAACCTTTACTCGAATTCTCGCACTCACGCACTTCCACGTCAAGCGCCTCGTTCTGTGTAATTCGACCCAATGAAACAACCCGAACACTCGCTTCCCACAAATCCAACCTCTGGGTCCTCGTCCCGGGAAGTGGAAACGCCAATTTTAAAGATTAAAAGACTTTAAATTGGCGGCCGAAGGGGCTCTGGTAATCACACCTTTCATGGATTAAATGAAATTTCACATATTCGTATCGATAATCGTTTTGTAATCAATTTTTCTGTTAATTAATATCTCAGGATGAAGTAATGATTTAATTAATTAAGAAATAAAATTTGATACGGAAGCTTGTGTATATGAGGCATTGATGCTATGAAAATTTGACGGTTTTGAGTCGCTATTAAAGAAGCGAACAAAAGCTTTCTTGATAGCGACTCAAATTGACAAATCATGTGAACTCGAACGAAATTTTGCTAATAAAATAGCGTGTTGTGACAGAGGCCAAATTTTAAAGTTCTTAGAACGGGTGATTTCAGAGGTCAAAGATTATCGTCTACCCAACATTCGAAATAAGGCCAAGTTCTTCTTGCCAAAATTTTTTAAAATACGTATTTTTTTTTCTATTTTTCTTGAAAAATTGATTCAGCATATCTTAACGTATTATACCTTGTACAGAAATTCCTCTTAAGAAACAATTAGCCTAATTATGTATCAATCACCAATCATCCATTTCAGTTAGTAGACTTACATAAAAATATAGGAATGCTTAAGATAATAAATACTGTGTTTAGAAGTTATATTAATAGAAAGTTTTAAAATTTTTTTAAGATAAAATATTATGGACATTTTTTAATTAATTGTAAAAAATTATAGTAAATGAATACACAAGTCGATGTACAAACGTGCTTTTTCTATGCACAAAACTGTAGGTTGTTTTGG